TGAAGCAAGCAAGCCTCATGTTAGTTTCAAGCTGCCTGGCTGCCAGCCGCCATCTTGGCTGGCAGTTAATTTGCATATCTCGCTGATTAGCCAATGGGAAGGGTAGCGGTTGTACATCAATTACCATGTTTCTCTTTTATTAGATAGGATTTTTCCATACAAACATTACATATAAATAATATATATAAAATTATTTTTCCTTGAGAATGCTACTTACGAAGTAAGATTCACTATTTTAATTGGTATATTTTTTCAAAGTATAAAAATATTTTATTGAGTCCTTGGCATCAAACCTAATTTTGCAGGAACCTATGGTAGAAATTTATCATGTCAAAGTGTTTACCAAATGTTTTTTTGTTTCTCTTTATTTGTATATATTCTGGGCCTATCTGATGTAGCTAAATTCCACTGATCAGAAATTCTGTTGATTGTTCTGTTTGAAATTGCATGACTTCCTCTTATTATAGGGCACCGAAGAACTTGAAGTACGAATTCTGGTGCAAGCTCGGCCAGGCCAAGATATCAGGTAAGTTCATAACATATAAAATGTATAGCCAACTTTTGTTTCTGCATGTTCATGAACTCAGGGAAGAATGGCTATCGTAAATCCACAGTTCAGTCAACCATTATCTTTCAGGTTTTTTAACAAGTAGGAAATGAATTTTCTGAACTCTACAGTCCATATCTGCTCTGCCTACATTTTCATGGCGATGGTAGAGGCAAATGAAATAATCAAAAGCAAAGACGAGACCACTGTCCTACCTTAAGAAGGGCACATATTTTAAATGATCTTTGTTACAATGGACTATATTTACCCTGATTTCATTAATACTAATTTGTCAAATCTCCTTGTGGCAAAGCTGTGCTTCTCCCATCCTTATGTCAGGAGGCCAAGGTGAATGGACTTATGCAGACACATAACTGGACCAACCTAAGTGACTCGAATAGAAATTATCTCTTTGACTCTAATCTTATTAGTATTTTTCTCCTTACCACAAAACTAACAGGCTGTAGACTTTTTATCATTAACTCCATATAATTTCTTGCCTTATATCAAAGAAAGTTTGCAATTGGCGTTTTGACAGAAATGTGGTACAAAGCAATTTATAAAGTAATTTTCAAATGTGAAATAACATATTCCTGTTTAGCAGTAATAGATATAAATTCTATTTCTGTCTTCTGTTGTATGATTTAATATTTTTAATTTAAGAAGTATGCAGGTTTTAGAACCTCTTCATTTCATTACTCTGCTCCTGCCCCATCTGTTAATATTTTTCTCCCCTGAGTGTCCTCCTTCTCTGACACTAAAGTTTCCCTCTGAGTGAAAATATTATTCTTACTCATCGTGCTTATGGTTCTGCTTTGACTTTCAGACCCATCGGCCATGACATTAAAAGAGGGGAATGCGTGTTGGCCAAAGGAACGCACATGGGCCCCTCAGAGATTGGTCTTCTAGCAACTGTAGGTGTCACGGAGGTTGAAGTTAATAAGTTTCCAGTGGTTGCAGTCATGTCAACAGGGAATGAGGTAAAAAAGGAGGTCAAGTGAAGGGGACTTTGAGATAAAACTGTTTCTAACATCTATGTTACAAATAGAAGATTGTGGATTATAACTATTACCACATTCCTATAACTAAGAAATAAAAATTGGCCTCAGGATAGTTCAAGTACAGAATATGAGAAGGAAGAAGTAGAAATTACATATAAATAATCTCTTCCATTTATTAGACTGAAACAATGGTCTTTCCACACATGCAAAGAATGTTGACTGATAGCTATAGATATTCAGCTGTACAAACTCAGTACTTAGTCTATTACGGCTGCATCATAACTGTAATTTTGCTACTGTTATGAATCCTAATGTAAATATCTGATATGCAGGATGTGTTTTTATTGTTACAAATTGAACATAATTAAAGCATAGTGATTAATCACAAAAACAATATGTAATTATATATGTGTTTTCCAATGGACTTAGGCGACCCCTGTGAAAGGGTCATTGTACCCCCAAAGGGGTCGCTACCCACAGGTTGACGACACACAGGTTGAGAACCGCTGGTCTATTAGGACAATGAATTGTGCCCTCTCTACTGCTATGATGTAGGCCACCTCTGTGTGGGAAAGAATTCAATGAATTGGGATACCATGGCTAGCCTGTTCCTGCTAAAATTCCATGTGATCTTTATGGCAGAGTTTGATAATCGGGTTTTTGTTTTTTTCTCTACACAATACCAGGGATAAAATGCTCCTCTCCACTGGGGCAGACCACTCCCACCACCCTTTACCCCTTAGTATGGTGCCATACTGATGCCAGGCATGGTTCTGACCACTGGGAATATAGCAGCAAGCAAGTAGGTTAGGAGAGGGGTATTCAGTAAACAGTGATAAATTACATGAAGAAAAAGAAAGGGTCAGATGATAAAGAGTGGTGGTAGAAGAGGTAATGCTAGATACTATATGTTGAAACTTCCCTCAAATTAGCTCTTTTATACTCTCCCTAAACAATAAGGCAAGAAGCATGAAAACTCTATTTCCCAGGCTGTCTTTCCAGCTATGGTCCAGTTAGGTTTTGCCCTTGGGATGCATTAACATGATATTAGAAGGTGGAAAGAAATTACCAGAGGTATAAGCTCCTTGACTCTAAGTAATACTTTCCCCCAACATCCCTAGGGATGATGGTGACTTCCCACACTTGCTGATCTTTGGTAACCAATACATCTGTAACCAATTCCCTGTATTAAATTCTCCTTTCTCCAACTTCCCCTCCATACCTAGAGGACTTTTGGTTTTCTTGTATGGACCTGATTGATAGAGTCTTCTATTTTATATAGGGTAATTAGGCCTCACTGATAAAGTAGAAATCAGAAAGCATTGAGAGCATATATCATATGAAAGGAATTGTGTTCCAAACAGCAGGAACAAACAGAAAAGCCCTGAAGTAAGGTCATGTTTGAGGAACAGCAAATATGTCACCGTGGCTGAAGTATAGAGGGAAAGGAGCAAAGTAAAAGGAGATGAGGGTGGAGAGGTAATAGAAACAATCATCTATACTAATAAAAGGGTAATATGCTAATTAGACCAGATAGACTGGACATCTTCTGGACGTCCTTCCAGACATCCTTCCGAACAAAGCCACAGTGGCGGGGGCCAAGGCAGAGGCGGTTAGGGCAATCAGGCCAGCAGGCAGAGAGGTTAAGGGTGATCAGGCCGGCACGGGAGAGTGGTTAGGGGTGATCAGACCAGTCGGGGAGAGCAGTTAAGGGCGATCAGGCAGGCAGAGGGGCAAGCAGAGGCAGTTAGGGGCGATCAGGCAAGCAGGTTGGTTAGGGGAGATAAGGCAGGCAGGCAGGTGAACAGTTAGGAGCCAACAGTCCCGGATTGCAAGAGAGATGTCCGACTGCCAGTTTAGGCCTGATCCCACAGGAGTCCCAGATTAGAAAGGGTGCAGGCCGGGCTGAGGGAACCCCCCCTCCCATGCACGAATTTTGTGCACCGGGCCTCTAGTTTATTATAATAGCTCATTTTGAGGAAGGAAAACATAATGTGGAATATAACATGTCTTTTTTTAAAATATAACATGTCTTAAAATTTTAAATGTTTACTCTGGCTTCTATATGGTATGTCATATAGGAAGGAAAGGGAAAAAAAGCAGGGAGACTAGTTAGCAGTATCTGCAATATTTCAGCAAGAGATTTGGACCAGAGTGGTAGCAATGGAGATGGTAAGGAGTAATCAGATCCAGGATATATTTTGAAGATAAAGCCAATAGGATTTGTTAGTAAATTCAAAACAGAATGTAAGAAAAAGTGAGAAGTCAAGATGAACTCCAAACTTTTTTACCTGAGCAGTTCTAAGGATAGTTATCATTTATTTATCCACGTGAGAAAGATTTAGGCAGTAGAAATCAGGGATTCTATTTTGGACATGTTAAATTTGAGATACTTATTAGAGATCCTAATAGAAATATCCAGGAGGCAATAAGATATTTAGCCTGGGGCTTAGAAAAAGACAGAGCTAAAGATACACATTTGGAAGTTATCAGCATATAAACAGAAGGGGTTTTATTCCCTTTTTTTAAGATATATACTGGTACATAGTGTTTAAAATCATGAGACTAAAGTCACCTAGGAAGTGAGTATTAATGGAAGACAGGGTATGCAAGTTTTACACTTAGGGGGCAATTGTATCTTCCACCTTTTTATCAACCTTTATATTTCCCAGTTGTATTTTCTAATTTTGACTCATTTTCTAAACTTCTTTTATTTATTGATTGATTTGAGAGAGAGAGAAAAGGAGAAAGAGAGAAACATCTATTTGTTGTCCCACTTATTTATACATTCAATGGTTGATTCTTATATGTGCCCTGACAAGGGATCGAACCTGCAACCTTGGTGTATGACACTCTAACCAACTGAGCTATCAAGCCAAAGCCTAATTTTGACTCTTGATGATGTCATCTCTTTATTGATAAACTAGAGGCCCAGTGCACAAAAATTTGTGCACTCAGGGGCAGGGGGTGGGGGGGTGTCCCTCAGCCCAGCCTGTGCCCTCTCGCAGTCTGGGACCCCTCGGGAGATAATGACCTGCTGGCTTAGGCCTGCTCCCGGGTGGCAGAGGGCAGGCCCAATCCCTAGGTGCAGCCCCTGGTCGGG